GTCATTCGTTATTTTTTTTATTTTTTATTTTTTTTATTTCATTGTGCAACCAGCCCAATGTGTTATTCGTTAACAGGCACTTTCAAATGTTTGTTGAATGAATTAATAACCTAGTTTGAAATTTTTATTTAAACAGGAAATGTGCAGAAAGCTGGTGTTGTTCTTGACTGTAAGGACAGCCATGGGGATGGGAAGAAGAAATGGGACTGTTGAGAGAAATCCCACAACATTCAGGTCTCTGCTTCCACCACTAGGAGTTACACCTCTGCAAGAGTTGAACTGCCTACGACTCTCCAAGAGTAAACCCAAGCTATTTGGGAGTGGTGGGGTCTCAACTGCTTCACTTGAGCACCAGAGGTCTCTAGGCCTGATATGAATGAAACCAGAGAATCAGAAGGGACCTTAGAGGCTCAGCTTCCTGCCTCTGGCTATAGTCAACTCCCAGGTACCTGGCTAAGGCAGCACAGCTGTGACACAGCCCTCACCAAGTTCAGTAGAGAAAATAAATAATTTCTTTGGACTTGTTAATGCAGCAATGTTTTTATCTTCCAAAAACATATCTATGTCTTTTGAATTGTCTTAGGGATTACATCTGGTTGGGAAACAAAGGAGAGGGTAGCCTTGATTAGGAAAAGGTATTAGATGAGAGTCAACACTATTCCTGCTGCTAATCGGAGGCCTGGGGTTGGGATAAAATCACTGCCTTTTGATATCAAGGCTTCAATAAATACTTATTAATAAATGTATTGACCTACTCCTTTTGTGAAGCTTTGTTCTTCTCTACCTTCCTACCTCTTCCTGTTAACTTGTGTATTTGGAAGGGGCTAACAAAGAATTCCAGACATCTGAATTTGGGGACTTCAGAGGCACATTCGATAGACTGCAGCAGAAGCCTCGAGCTTAGGACACTTTCCCGACAAAATATCTAGGTTTAATTCAACTCGTAATGTCAGTGGAAAGGGCGCAGAGGTGCCTCCACTGGTGGCCATCAGCCAGGGTGCTCTGGAGCCTGCAGTAGGCAGGGCCCGCACACAGGAAGTCTAGAGCCTAGAGCCGCCTGCCTATTGCTCACACTCAGTTCTTTGCACGAGGAGCAACACAATATCCAACTGCCGGCCCCCTGCTCTTCTCCCAGGAGGAAGGTAACTTCTGTGGTTCATAGAACTGTTTTATGCAAATGTTCTATGTTCAAGAAATAACTGTCAATTCATGACAGCGTGAGTCAGAGAATGGTTGATAGGGAGAGCTGTAAACAAAGTGGAGAGCCTTGGTACTCAACATGTGGTACGTGGGCCAGCAGCATGGACATCACTTGGGAGCTTATTAAAAGTATAGAATTTGGGGGCTCCTGGGTGGTGCAGTTAAGCTTCCAACTCTTGGTTTCAGCTCAGGTCATGATCTCAGGGTCGTGAGATAAAGCCCCGCGTTGGGCTCCCTGCTTAGCAGGGAGTCTGCTTGAGATTCTCTCCACCCCTCTCCCTCTGCCCCTCTCTACACTCACTCGCTCTCTTGCTCTCTCTCTAAAATAAATATCTTTTTTAAAAATAAAAGTGCAGAACTTTAGGGGCCCCTGGGTGGCTCAGTCGGTTGAGTGCGTGACTCTTGATTTCGGCTCAGGTCATGATCTCAAGGTCATGTGCCTCCCCACCGGGAACCCTCCCCGGCACCCTCTCGCTAGAGACACACCGCTCGCCTCTGGCAGCGACAAAAATAAAGAGGATTACATCATTTGTTACAACAAAATGGTTATTATAGTAATAAGTATAATTAGCATTAGACAATTACAATAATAACACATTTCCTTGCTGCAGAGGTACTTTTTTAAAAAACAGGTTTATTTAATGCCCCCCCTCAAACCCCCCCCAAGAGAAAACAACTCTTTTCATGAAGGGGAGAAGCCTCTTTCATTCTGCTCAGATGCTATCTTAATGAAGGAACATTATTGACAAACCCCATAAAATGGGAGCAGATTCCCTTGGAGCAAAATCTCTTTTACTCTCTCTCTCTCTCTCTCTCTGGTTTCTCTGGGGGGAAAGAAAACCTTGTGCCTCTCTTTCGAGGGATTAGAACAGGTTGTGGGATAGAGAAGATGAAGCCAGGAAGAGGCAAAAGACAAGAAAACCCGTCTCCAACAGCTAGAGCTTAAGATCCGCTGTTGCTAGCTCTCGGCCACCCCTTCTCCCGGGTTGGACAGCCCAGGAAGGGAGGCAGGCCGTTCAGTCACCACAGTGAAGAAGGGTTTCGGGTCATTTTCCGAGTTCCATGGGCACAGCGGGTGCCTAGGCTGACATGCCACAGAGGAAGAGATTGCAAATGGAATAAACAGCAGGGCATGATTTTACTCCACGTGGACATACCCAGATTAGATGCTTCCACTAAATCTGGTTAGTTATCTTCTGCTTTTTCCAAAAAGACTGGGGAAAGCTTATGATAAAATGCCAGGCAAGATGTTAAAATTAGACAGATGAGAAAAACAAGATACCCGCAGACATTTCTTTTTTTTTCTTTTCTCTCTTTTTTTTTTTTTTTAGATTTTGTTTATTTATTTGAGAGAGAGAATGAGCACAAGCAAGGAGAGCAGCAGAGGGAGAGGGAGAAGCAGGCTCCCCACGGAGCAGGGAGCCCTGTGAGGGGCTCCATCCCGGGACCCTGGGATCATGACCTGAGCTGAAGGCAGACACTTAACCGACTGAGCCACCCAGGTGCCCACACACAGACATTTCATAAACGTGTTGATATATACGTAAGCACATGTGCACTTCCCATACGTGTGTACAAACGTAGACAACCTAAGATACAGACCTGCTAATCTGTATAAACATTGACACATACAATAGATATGCGGATATAGTCCTTGTGCATGTCTACTAGACCACCCCCATATGCACATCACCCTTTCACAATAGACACAGCCCTGGACATACCATCACTTTGCAAACCCATAGATACCTATAAAACGTGGTCACGTGTCCACATACGTGTGGAAGTATACATTCACAGAAACACAGTCATACACACAGACAGGTGGGTACAGACTCAACACATGCACACACGCACAAACAAACAGAATATAAATCAAATGAGAACAGCTATAAAGATAAGCGTCTCTGCTCATCACTCTTATCTTCTCTAAATGACAGTGCCCAGAGGCATGAACTTAATCTAGGGCTCTAGCCCATCACACCCAATGCAAGAGAAGGCAAAAGGTGTGGGCCACCCACTAGGGAATCTGTCTGTCTCCAGGGCCAACCACGTATGTGTGTGTCTTGTTCAAACACCCAGAGATTTCAACTCCGCCGCGGAGCGCTGAGAGTGAAATGTGTTGACCTACTTTCCCAGGACTCCAGGTAAAGCTACTATTTCCTCTCTCTGACATTTAGTGTCTGGTCTGCTGCATCATACCACCCAGACGAGCCTTCCGCCATTCTCTGAATTTTCAGCCAGGGAGGCTGTCCCTTACACCAGGGATACTCCCCTTCTCTCGCCTACCCCACCAGCAGAGAATATCCCCTTTCCTCTCTCGGTATCACTGCTTCTCTCTTCCAAGGAGCTTCTCAGATCTTTCCCTTAAGACGTTCAGCAGCACGTGGAACAACCATGTTTTCTTTCCCCAAATAGCTTTCCTTTCCTATAATGTCTAAAATGCATTTATTCCAGCTGTCTTTAGTTCCTCATTGGTTTAATGTCTTATTCTATTACTTGTCTGTCTTTTATGAGTATGTCAAGATACCTATCTTGGTTTTTATAAGATTTTTTAATTTATTTATTCATGAGAGACACAGAGAGAGAGGCAGAGACACAGGCAGAGGGAGAAGCAGGCTCCCTGCAGGGAGCCCAATGCAGGATTTGATCCCAGGACCTTGAGATAATGCCCTGAGCCAACGGCAGACGCTCAACCTCTGAGCCACCCAGGTGCCCCTCTATCTTAGATTTTAAGTTTCTGATTCTTAGAATACTGAGCCTACCTGTGGATGCCTTTGCACAATGCTGACACTGATGGCTATTTTCATTCTGTCTCCACTCTATCTTTAGATAGGCCCTGTCTTGGGTGTTTCAGGAAGATATATAGAGAAGAAAAGATATTACATCCATCTTAGGGGTTCCCAGACTGACAGTAGGAAAAGACATTAAGAAAGAAACGGTGGAGGGTCTCAGTGGCTCAGTTGGTTAAGGAACCGACTCTTTTCAAAAATATTTTTCTTATTTATTTAGTTGAGGAAGAGAGCATGTGTGTGAGAGAGATCACAAGCAGGGGAGAGAGATAGAGGGAAAAGCAGACTCCCCGCTGAGCAGGGAGCCCATTTGGGGACTTGATCCCAGGACCTTGGGATCATAACCTGAGCTGAAGGCAGATACTTAACTGACTGAGCCACCCAGAGCCCTAAGGAACTGACTCTTGATTTTGACTCAGATCATGGTCTCAGGGTCATGGGCTCAGTGTCTGGCTTTGAGCTCGGTGCAGAGTCTGTGGATATTCTCTCTCCCTCCGCCTTTGCCCCTCCCTCCACTCCTATACTCTTACTCTCCCTTTCTCAAATAAATAAATCTTTATTTTAATTTTATTTTTTGTTTTGTCTTTTTTTAAAAGATTTTATTTATTCATGAGAGACACAGAGAGAGAGGCAGAGACATAGTCAGAGGGAGAAGCAGGCTCCCTGTGGGGAGTCCGACATGGGACTCGATCCCAGGACCCTGGATCACGCCCTGGGCCGAAGGCAGGCACTAAACCGCAGAGCCCGGGCTGCCCTTGTTTTGTTTTTATTGAAGTTCGATTTGCCAACATACAGTATAACACCCAGTGCTCATCCCATCAAGTGCCCTCCTCAGTGAAATCTTTATTTTTAAAAAAGAAACAAACAAAAGAAAAAAAAAAGTCTATAATGTCAAAGCTAAAAGAAGATTGAGGGAGAATTTAATTCAGACTCCTTACTTTCCAGATAAAGGAATGGAGGTCCAGAGAAATGAAGTGACTTGCCCAGAGCCACCAAGAAAAGTGAGTGGCAGAGAGGGAATCAATTCCAAGTTCTCGTCTCCTAGTCTAATATTCCTTCCACAATTTAAGCATTTCCCAAACTGAATTTCAGAGAATGCTCTTGTCCCCAAAACTGATAAGAGGTTTTTCGTTAAAAGGGGTTCTGTGCTCCTCTGATGTCACCTATCATGTCGGCTCTTGGAGATTGAAAATGAATAGTAATATGTTGAAGTTTTCGAGAAGTCCTGTAGTTTAAGATTTCAGCCTGTCTAGTCTGATGTTTCCAAAACTGAGCTAATCATGTAATCATTTTTAAGAAACCCCTATTAACACCACATGGGACATGGGCATTCTGAGGGTTACACAGTCTAGGAAACAATGGGGAGGGTCTGAGTTGCGTTTCTTCTAAAAAGAGAGGCAAAGAGCTGAGCAGAAACGTGAGCATAACATGGTCTCCCTTTCTGTGGAGGAAAATGTGAAGCAGGTGTTGATGAAAAGCAAGTGGGAATATCCCAGGAGGTAGAGATGACTACTCCAGAGGCTTAATGGAAGGAGATGGTTAGGGCTCAGAAACCAAGTTCCCCCAATGGTGGAAAAGGAGAGAAAAGGTGTTACTACTACTAGCTACCACTACTATTATAACAAAATGCCAGGAAAGGGGATTTTGAGTCATTTAGTCAGAGGTAAAAGCGCCAGCATTCTCCACAGCAAGAGCCAGCAAGCCCCCATCATGAGAAAAGAGAGCCTCATACATAGTAGGCATTCAACAAATATTTGTTGAATGAATGAGTCCGTGAAGCAAGCTGATTTGCCTCAAGCAATGGAGAGAGCCTAAGCCAAGTGAATTTGAAGTTACGGATCGTCTTCTGCACCTCCAGGGAGGATTAATTTTCTATGGAAAGAAAAGTAGGAACATATGACCAGGGAAGCCCCATAAGCACCGGCTCTCTTATTTCCATAGGGTCTGAGGGATTTTTCCGGGCAAAGCCCAGCAATAGAACTGAGTATAGTTGTGGAGGGAATGAGTCAGGTTGAGCTGTTTGTTTGTTCTCCAGGGCAGGGCATTGCAAGAGTCAATAAACACACTGGAGCCTCTTTGACTGGGCCTTGGAGCAAGAGATCAGCTTGTTTGTTCTAGAGAATTTGAACTTGGGTCAAAATGGCTCTCAGGGCCTCCCTTCCCTGAGGTGGAGACCTCCAGGCTGCAGCTGAGGTCATGCACTGGGCAGCCAGGTGCACCACCTAACCATGCGTTCCACAGGGGACGTTCCTTTCACCAAGCTATTTTTTTTCCTTCACGACATGCCATGGCCACACCAACCTGCCACCTACTAGTTGTGCAGACGTCTTACTATTGAACACAGGCCACAGAATTGTTAACAGCCTCAGACTAGGGCCCTGGCATAGGCAAGCGGGAGCACAAAGTTGGAGTCCCAGGACTGGAAAGCACCTTCTCAATGACACGTCAAACGCCTTCCTGTCTCTAGCACAGCCACCCACCTTAGAGTCAGTCTCGTCTCCCTCTTTCCTCTTCCCAAATACAGAAGAGATTGAACTTTCTCAGATGGTCCAATCCCAGCTGTCATGAGGCCGCAGCAGAAGATCCCCCCGTGTGCTCCGGGCCTCGCCGTGGGGAAGCTCCTGATCCGCGCTGGTTGGCGGAAGAGACCAGGAGTATCTACAAACTTCCCCCCAAAATGCTTACTAAGCAACAAAGCAGCAAGTACAAACCAACAATCGGGCTGAAACGAGGAAGAGCCGAGAAGCCCTAAAAGACGAAGAGGCTGGCTGGGGAAGGGTTCCTGGAAGAGGGGGTACAGGCCGCAGCTGGGCTGGAGGAGAAAGGGGCAGAGGGAGAGAAAGTGAAGGCCTTCCAGCCTGAGGAGGGGACGGGGGAGGGACATTTCCAAGGCCAGAAAGGGCGCAGCATGGACAGGAGACCCGGAATAGAGAGGAACACAAAGGAACCGAGTAGAAGGAGACCCCAGGGCAGCCTTGCAAGTAAAGCCAGAGTCTGAAGTGACAGGTAAGTAAGTTGTCGGGGGACAGTATCGAAGATCTTTGGGGTGTGAGTCAAAAGACATGCGTTCTGTCCTGGATCTGCTACCGTCTCAGGTACCACAGGCCTTGGTCTTCCCATCTGTAACATCAGGCCATTGGCCCAGAGGACCTAGAGGGTGGGTCCCTTGACCCACCCAGAAAACTCTGGCTCGACGCTCAGCGACGGGAGGCAGCAAGGACCGCGTGGCCGTTCCTCCACAAATCCATTTAATATTTTCCCCTTATACAAGACAAGTCTAAGTTCCCTTTATCCCTGCGACTGAATTACAACTTGAGCATATTTACTACGTCAAAGATTAATCCTCTAAACCCGGCAAGCTCGCTGGTTGAGCTGCAAGGAAATATCTCTATAAAAAGAATAGACTCTATAAATTATTGGTCACTTACCTAGGGTTGTTACTAAATTATTTTAAAAGGATATATATTCTGCTCCTACACTCTCACTTCTGTCTCTCTCAGACTAATTGCTTCCTGAACTAGGAAGGGTGTCCAGGCAGAGACCTAGGAAGTTTGATATATTCCGGATCCTTCAACTGCTGGGATTCCAGATGATAAATAAACTGCACAGTGGAATTTGAATCAACCTATTCACAGACTAGAAGGGAGCAAGGGGGTAAGTCATTGAAATTGCCCTCTGTTGTTCCCTCCTAAGCATTCTATGCAGTGTAACACTTCGTCGGCTTTAACTGGGAAGGTGTCAGCTTCTACCTCAGGCCTTATCATACTGGATTTTAAATGTCTATTTTTCTGTCCATCCCCCTAGACTGCTGGCTTGTTCATCTTCGAATATGACCCGCGCCTGTGACTAGCACCTACCCAGTACTTGTGTATACACTGGTCAGTGCATGAATGTGTAGATTAAGAATGGTAATCTAACTAAAAGGACTTGATAGTGTCTAGCCTTAGTCTTATGCGACAACAACCACTCACCCCCTTCTGCCTCCTGGGCCAGTAAATGACACCCCTTGCATCTGAGTTAGATGTCTATCCTTCACCCCCTGCCCCATGTACACCTGCCTCACAGCTCTGATCATGCTGTACTATAAATGCTGGTTTACTTGTCTATCTCCCCACCAACCTCAAGCACCTAAAAGGCAGAGAGTTTGTCTTACTCATTTTTGCCTCCCTTGTCCAGAATGGTAGAGATCACAAATAAGGCATTTTGTTGAATGAATCCAACCAAGAAGCACACTAACTTATCTTTCCAGTGTTATGACCAAAGAAAGAATCTTTTAGGAGGATGTCAAAGGTCAATCCCTATAACAAAAGATACACCCATAACATTATGTCTACTTGACCAAAGGAGAGGCTTGCAGAAGCAATCATACGGATATTCTTTTTTTAAAAAGATTTTATTTATTTATTTATTTATTTATTTATTTATTTATTTATTCATGAGAGACCCAGAGAGAGAGGCAGAAACACAGGCAGAGGGAGAAACAGGCTCCATGCAGGGAGCCCGATGTAGGACTCGATCCCCAGACCCTGGATCCCGTTGAGCCAAAGGCAGGAACTCAGCCGCTGAGCCACCCAGGCATCCCTCACGTGAATATTCTAATTCTCCAACATGTTTCAGAAAAACAAACATAGTCTACACCGGACAAATTATCTCGATATTTATTCACCTCTAGAACCTTCAGAGTCTCCGTTGCACTCTGAGGGGTGTGGAATGGAACAGAAAGTGCAAGCACAGGCTCTGTCGTCAGGGACACCCAGACTGAAACACATCAGCGAGGATGAACAGAAGGAAGCTGAAAGACATTAATTCTGTACAATTAACCAAAGAAAGGCGTCAGACAAGGTAAAGCTCTGGGGTACTTGGCTTGGGAAATGAGCAGGGATGGCCGGTCCTTCATATTTTGACAAACTGCCCTCCCACTGGCCCAGAAGTGCTTCTGAGGTGCATGAGGAAAGCACAGGCCATTAGGAGGATGAGGAAGGGACTGTCTAGTAGTTTGGGGGAAATCAAGCTGCTGAAGTGCAATACAAAAGAATGTTCATATTCTCACGTATGTTTTACAGGGAAAGAATAAATAGACCAAAAAGTCATTAGACATGGTGGGCCAAGGAGAAGGGTGGTGAGACAGGATGATCTCAGGCCTGATTCATAGGGTGTCCTGAAATTCTTCTGAAAGCATAGGGGCTCCCTGAGAGAGATTGAGTATGAGCTAATTAATGGACTGGAAGACTAAGATGACAAGACTCTTGATGATCCATAATGCGATCTATGCTCCTAAGTTGCTCTGCAGCTCCATCTTCCCACCTCTCCACTAAGGCCATTTCCTCTAAGAATGACCTTCTCCTTTTCACATTTGCCTCCTCCAGGAAGCCTTCCAGAAGTAATGACCACCCCCATGAGCTTCCCCACACACAGCTATATGGAGCATGGCCACACTCCGTACACTACTCATTCGTTTCCTGGCCTTCTGTCACTAACTGTTGACCTCTAGGGCCTCTAGAGAGTGTAGTCTGTCTGTAGGCACTCAGAATCGAAACCACCTTATCCTCCTTTGTGAGGTTTGTTCCCAGAAGTTGTTCATGGTAGGAAAGCGCAGACTGCCTGAAGAAGACAGCCATCAGATGGCTCCATTCCCCGCATCACAGAGTCTGCAATGGGCTCCTCTCCACACTAAAGTTATGGTGCAGGAGTTATGGCTTTCCCTGTAAAAAGTCATTATAATTATGAAAAATGTCTATGGCTCTTTCCACCGTTTAGGCAAAGCCTCTGGCTGTCCCGATGAGCAGAGATTTAAGATCCTGTTCTCCATAAAGATGGCTAGATAGCCCCAGAGATAGATGTGTTAACGCCTAATTGGTCATTGTTGAGTCATCAAATCTGTTTCAGACAGCGGGACTGGACAATCCTGACTGATAAGGGAGGGCAGCAAACAGCTTGGGAGGAGGGAGCGAGGGATCACTATAGTAAGCTCTCTTTCTGCACCGCCCCCCACCCCCGCCTTCACTCTTCCCTTGCTTCCCTTGCGCAGGGCTCCTAACAGCAGCAGCTTCCAGCTCTCCCAGAGGGAGCCCCATCAACTTCTCAGCAAGGCAATGCTCCCTCCAGTCTACACCTAATCTCTCGGCTGAAAGTCCAGTTGCTGCTGCTCTGGCCTCAGGAAAGGCTAGTATTCTCCTGTTCTTGAGTTTCAACACCTGAAATCCCCACCCCCACACCGCCCATCAGCATTCTCTCTCTTCCCTACTTCCTCTATCTTCCCCCTCCATTCTGGACCTTTCTCTTCATTGTATTAAACATGACTTTCTTATTTATACCCTTTTATCAAAGCCATGTGACTTTTTAAAAGACTTTTCTAGAATCCTTAATCATTGCAATGAGTATCACTTAATTCAGAGTCGATGAAACATATTATTCGAACAATCGTCATTTTTGGCGGCAAACGATGCAGAGATGGAAGCCAAACCCCAAGCACCTGTGACTTGGAGGGAGGTGAGCAAAGAAAATGGCACTATTCACAATTTGGGGCTTTAACAGCAAGTTAAAAAAGGACAATCCATGGTTAAAGTGAGATTTTTAAAATGCTAGAGTATGTGACATCTTCATTTCAGGCTTTTAAACAGAAAAGGGCACCATTCATGTCTAAGAGGATTTTCTAGCAGGTAAAACTAATTCTTTGGGAAGATGGGACAAAGTAACTTCTCAAGGAAAATCTGTGCCTCTTCTTCCTTTCCAAGGAAAATGATTGGCTTTGTGGACACAGTAAAGGAAAGGTGTTCATTCCCAGAGTAAAAATATGGAGGATGCGGGTAAGACGGGAAGCAGCGGAGGCCCTGGTTCCGTGCCAGTGACATGCCGGCCCGCCCACCCCATCCAGGTGGCTACAGGAGCAATGGAGCAGCACCTCCATTTGGGTGACCCCTAAGAACTTTGCCATCTTTCACTATTATTGAGGACTAAACCCACTCCTCTCAGGCAGAAAAGTGGGGCATGATTGCTGCTGTGGATGTACTCACTTAGGAGGACATACTCCCTAGGGTTCCCACAGTGTCTGTCTCTAGAGCGCTCCCCCACTTCAATCATCCAACTCAGATGAAAATTCTCTTCATTCAGAACCGTGCAGAGAAGGTGGAAGGTCTCCACCACTTCTCTGGTTTGACATGTTTCCTCTCTCTGTCTATAAATTTAATATAACTCCTGAGTGGCTTTAGTCAGAACCCATCTTTTTTCTCATACCTACACAGAGAATTGGTTTTTTTTTTTTTTCAGGCTCCCATGCACCAACCACTGCCCTCTCCTTTCAGTCCTGGAGACTGAAAGTCAAATGAGGTGGTCATCCTCCATCCCCAAGTCCCAAATGCTCCTCCAATCCCTCTTGAGATACAGACGCTGGAAAGAAGGATTTGGTGTCTGTTGCTCTACACTCCTCAAAACCACATCACCTCCTCAGGAACGAGCATTTCAGAGTTTCCTGAGCTTTCTCGGTGCTACCTGTCCAGCTACAAAGGGAAGATGGCAGATGGTTAAAGGAACCTTGCACATACCCCATCAGAATCCAAGGCAGATAAAACAAGGTAATTTGCCGTTCCTCTGAGAGCCTGGTGCTCCCATGAGGGACAAAGGAAGCTGGATGTCCTGATCATCTAGAGTAATTGCCGCCGCCACCACCCTGACAATAATAACCCCCCCAACCACTGACAGCCCTTTTCATCTGAAGGATCTCAAAGCACTTAGCCGCCAGGTGCTCATTAAGGCCTCTTGGATGAGGTTGGCTTGATGGGTCTGAGGCCTTGCTACAGACGGTCAGGGTCAGGGGGTGACTCAGAGAACTTAGGGAGCCAAATATTGCAGAGGAGGGGGGCCCATCAGCTTCCTACACGTGGGAAAATGAGCCTCCTTGGCCCAGGTCTGGTGCCGACTCCAGGGGAATGAAAAGGAGGCTAGCTCCTCCCCCAGCAGTCTGCAAGCAGGGTCATGCAGAATTAATCCAACACAGAGCTCATCTACCCCAATACCAGACAGGACTGTTTACTCCCCCAAGAACTGGTGGGAGGCATGGGGGTGTAGCAACGAGGAAAACATCTCTGAAAGGAGAAATGCGGAATAGCTGAAGAAACACTGCCTCAATCAAGAGAGAGTCTAAGGAGGGTGGTTCTGGGATACTCAAGTCTTAAGAGTGGCCCTGGATGGCCAAACAGGGAAGGGCTTCATTTTCCTAGGCCTCAAAAGAGGCAACATCAGTTTTTCTACAGAAGTAGCCTATGTACAAAGTCTGAATGCAAACCCACAGTGTGTCCATCAGAATGTGATTTCTGGGGATCCCCGGGTGGCGCAGCGGTTTGGCGCCTGCCTTTGGCCCAGGGCGCGATCCTGGAGACCTGGGATAGAATCCCACGTCGGGCTTCCGGTGCATGGAGCCTCCTTCTCCCTCTGCCTGTGTCTCTGCCTCTCTCTCTCTCTGTGACTATCATAAATAAATAAAAATTAAAAAAAAAAAGAATGTGATTTCTGTTAACTGGCAACTGGCAATCCTCTCTCCTGCCCGACTTTACAGCCTCTGTAACACTACGCCAAGGGATGCATGGGTCAAGTGAATTAAAACATCCCAACCTACCTGCCCAGTTCCACAGAGATCACTACGCTGGAGTGAAGCCAAAATCATTTTGAATGGCTCTTTCTGGTATAGACCACAAAGCCTGTCTTTAGAAAAATGGACCACAAACTAACTCTGTGGACCAGTTGGCTGGGTCATTAGACAATCTCGGAAAATCACATACTCTTTTCACTTCCTTTTGCTACTACAACTACCACAGCAAAGATTAAAAGGGCTTTTGCCTGGTGGCATATGCGGCTTATACAGAGGCAAATCTATATCCAAAAATATACTTTAAAATAATGGCATTTTTGGTTACAATATGGAAATGCATAAGTGGAAAGGCTGCATACCTGTCTTGACCCTTTAGATGACCCAAAGCCAAATCACTCTGGTGAAAACTGCTAGAATTTCAAGTACAGGTCCCTTCAAGAAAACGGCCTTTGGTGTGCTAACTTTAATAGTCCCAAACTGAAGAAAGACAGTAGAGTCACTGAGTGGCCTATGGACTTGGAGGAAGATGACTCCCTGTGTATCAAACTTAAAGAACCAATTGCTCAGGAAAACATGCCTTGAGGGAAGAGATGGGGTCTGCTGATAGCTCCCCAGCTTGCCTCTGGAACCAAAGCCCAGGAGTCCCCAAGAAATCCAAAGACCCCTGGACCCGTCTTGCTGCTGAAAGTTTCCATTTCTCCAAAACTCTGCAATCAGAAGAAATATTAGAAATATACTCCTTTTATTTAGTATAGTCTCAAGGTCATTTCTGTATTCTTCTGTCCCAAAATAGAACCCACCCCCACCCTCCAACCTCAATTCTCCCAGACTGTAAAAAGGAGAAGGCATCCATTTGCTCAGAAATTGGGGGTCCCCACCCCCAACCTCCAAGAGATGAGGGAGGCAGGGGAAAGACACTCATTAGCAAGTTGCAGGTGGTGTTACCAGGGTATTATTTATTATTTGTTGGCTGCCAAAGCTTCCCTGAGCCTGCAAAGACAGAGCCATTGCCTCGGGGGCTGCAAAGTCTGAGACAGACAAACAACACACAACCCAGGCATGAAATCCACCCCACTGAGGAGCTGGAGGCAACCTCAAGGATAGGAGCCACCCTCCTTTCTGGAGAGCCTCTGGTTCCTGAAAGTCTTGGGGAAGGCGCAAATGCAGGGGAGACTCTAGATCAGAGAGGAGCAGGCTCTCCAAAGGGATGAGAGGGGCTCCAAAGAAAGGAGTGCAGGCACAGGTTGAGGCAAGAGGTCTTAGAACGGTGTGAGAGGTAGGAGGAAATGAGATCAGGGTTACAGGCTGGGACAGCAGGCAGAGGAGGCGGGTTGGGGGGAGAGGCGTTGCTGAATGGATGGGGGAGGCCAAGAGATGTCATCAGCTGTTGCGTGGGGGAGCACCGATGCCAGAACACAAGTCGTGGCAAGAATGAACCGCCAGAGGTACCGAATGATTAGGAGTCTAACCAGGGGGAAGAGGGACTTGGTCATCGGTAACAGCCTGTATTGAGATGCTACTGCTCCCTGATAACCGCCCCATTGCCAGCACAAAGCGGACTGCAAAGGAAAGGGCCAGCGTGCGGCACGGTAGGACTCCTCAAGATAACGCGGCCAGGTATCCCTTCGCTGGGAGAAGCCCCATCTCAGAGCCGCAAAAGCTTCAAGTCTCACCCGTAACCTCTTTCCCCAGGAAAGTAACTTGAGGCTCACCGCCCCCAGGAGGTCCGTCCCGGGAATCCCTGTTCTCAGTCCACACTCTTGGTCTGATCTCATCTGCTGTGTGCACCTTGCTAAGACAAGAGAGCTTGTTTGGAGGCTTGGCAGAGAAGACTTCTCCCATCTACCCAAAGAAAGCACTTCTAACCAAAGACAAGCACTTCTGGTTTTTGTTTTTTGTTTTTTAAGTATGCAACTGCAAGAGGGATGGAGTGAAAGGGAGAGGGAAGTTGGGACTCCCATCCAGTCAATCCTGGAAACTGATTGGTGAGAGATGCCACAGCGGCACTTGGCCCTCACACCCTAGGCAGCACAGCGGAAAAGAAGGCCTGGGAGGAAGGCCAGAGTGGCCTCTAAGCCAAAGGAGTCGGTCTTGTTGTGCTTACTGCCAGGAAGCCCTCTGCTGAGTTTCACCTCAGCACCTCCAGCTTTAAATGCTCTCTTTTCCTCTGATTTGGAAAAGGAGGAAAAGAAGTACCCTTGTCCTTCATTTAGGTACCATGGAAACCGGTTATTAAATCCGTGAGCCGGGGCAGCTGGGTGGCTCAGCGGTTGAGCGTCTGCCTTTGGCTCAGGGCGTGATCCTGGGGTCCCGGAATCGAGTCCCACGTCGGGCTCCCCGCAGGGAGCCTGCTTCTCCCTCTGCCTGGGTCTCTGCCTCTCTCTCTGTGTCTCTCTTGAATAAATAAAATCTTTAAAAATATGCGTTTAAAACAAACAAAATCCTTGAGCCCCTTCTAAACTCATCATTCTTGGGCTCTTCCCAAGGACCCTAGGTGCACCAAGTGAGGAGCTCTGAAGACAAGAAACCCACGAGAGTTTATTTACATCTCTCCTTCAAAACGTGCACTCCATTACTCAATGTCTTTGGAGGGCTTGCCCCATAAAAACAACTTCATATAAGCAAATGCTGTGGAAAAGCTCACTCCTGCTATTCGTGCCCAAGCAGAGAGGCCAAATACGAGCCTCTCGCTTTAGATTCCCTAAAGCTATCTGCAATAGGATGGGAACTTTCTCAAGGTTTGGTCTAAAAGGGCCAGCACATCTCTCTGTAGGGACAACTACAGTGTCACTGCAGAGAGCAGCTCTGACTTCTTCCAGTGAATCCCCAAACAGTAATGAATGGAAAGGTCTTCTAGCTCCAGCTTCTTCCAAACTGTCAAGCCTGGCATAAGAAATAACTGAGACCGGGGGACCCCTGGGTGGCTCAGGGATGGTTTAGCGCCGCCTTCGGCCCAGGGCGTGATGCTGGAGACCCGGGATCGAGTCCCACATCAGGCTCCTGCATGGAGCCTGCTTCTCCCTCTGCCTGTGTCTCTGCCTCTCTTTCTCTCTGTGTCTGTCATGATAAATAAATAAAATCTTTTAAAAGTTAAAAAAGAAATAACTGAGACCGGGGGATCCCTGGGTTGCTCAATGGTTTAGTGCCTGCCTTCGGCCCAGGGCATGATCCTGGGGTCCCAGGGTCAAGTCCCACATCGGGCTCCCTACATGGAACCTGCTTCTCCCTCTGCCTGTGTCTCTGCCTCTCTCATGAATTAATAAATAAGAAATAACTGAGACCAAAATACAGGATAAATCTCTCTGTAAATTTCCACTTCCACCCCAGATTGTGAATCCCACATTCTCTATGAACACTGGGAATGGAGAACACAGACAACCTAAAAATGTTTGATAAATTTTCAAAAATCCATTGAGCCCTGAAATGTATGATGCAAAATTTCTGTACAAGATGTATCTGTGTTGTTTAGGCAGACGCGAGATTGCTTTTCCTTAACGCGTGCTTCCTTGGAGCTGTGGGAAAACAAGTCTAAGGTTACCGAATCCCTGCAAGGACGTCCTAGGATGGAAACTAAATAATTGACCATGTTTAAGTGGTCGGTTTCCTACCAAACTCGGAGTCCGGAGACGCAGAGAACGCCAGACCCTCGGCGCATCCACCAGGGGGCCAGGCAGCCAGCCGACTTCCCCTGTAGCACACGCAGGGACGGAGGGAACAAGGTTATTATTCCCAACTCCTGCAGGCTCTGGGAGCACCGGGGAGTCCACTCTCACCTGTTCGTGGTGGGATCAGTTCTATCCACCAACTGGTTTCCACTTTGGCTAATTTATTGGAAATGGAGAGGCAATCAGACCAGGCACAGTGAGAAATCTCCTAATAGGAATGTGGCCTATTAACCTCTAGGATCTTAGAAATGGTTGCTTGAAAAGCGTAGAATCTAAAAAAAGAAAAAAAAAAGAAAGAAAGAAAGAAAGAAAAGCATAGAATCTGTTTTCTTTCTCAAGCTCGGCTCTAGGAGAGGAGGCAGCGGAGGCAGCGGGCCCGGCCAGATGATTCTCGTGCTTGCTCCGAGTCCTGAATCTTTTCTCCGAGGGGAAGCCGGATCCAGTATCCAGAAGGTGAGGGCTGCAGTGTTATTTTACAAACAAGCCCTCCCTATATCAACGCCACTTACTGTACTGGAAGCCGGTATTAAGTGAACCGCTGGCGTAGTGCATCAAGGGCTTATTGAATATTGATTCCCATTTACGTGACAGCAAAATGGCCTAAGAAATCTTCTCTGGATGCCTCAGCCCCTTGATAAAGAGGGTGTTAGTTTTGTTTTATGAAGCTGGGATCCGGGCCAGTCACATCTTATAGCTCCACTTACTTTTATTTAATAAAAACAAGGGATGGTATGAGTGAGGAGGGGGAGTGTGTGGTGTCATGTTGTTTTTCAAGAAGATTTGATCTGTTGGCAAAGCAAGAGGAGCAGGAGTTAGACTTCAGAAAGGATTTTTGCATCAGACCGCAGGTCAAGGAAGGGAACAGAGAAATCCTAGAATAGGCAACCCCGAAAGCAGGTTTAGATCTTTCTTCTAAAAAAAAGAACCCCTACCTGGTGAGATAGAGAAGCGATTTTGCTAGCCAGCCGCTGCCACCCCAGCAAACAATGGAAGCGACGGCTTTTGGCCGCTCTAAGAGCAGAGTCACAGAGTCTCTCTTTAGGGAAACAGGGACCCAAAGCTTGCTGTATCCTTTCCCCATATGCCGGGTCTCTCCGAGCCCAGCCCTTCATCTGTATGGGAATTCTCCGAATTTCCCAAAAAAAGACATACACTAGCTTCCCACCCATTCCCAGTCTCCAGCAGAGAAAAATCCCTCTA